ACCTTAATCCAGTGATATGAATGGCATTGTGAGAAATTATAATGTGCATCAAGGGAATTCCGAAACAGACTCAGAGCAATCTTTATCTAACATACCCCAGGGTGGCTGCAACAATAGTTGTGATGCTTTCAATAATTACAACAGCAGCTCTGTACACCTTTCAAGGACAAAGTTGGTCTTCGTTGTTCTCACAGGGTCACCTGTTACTGAAACCTGCAACAGAACTGGTTTGGAGCTCACTTTTCCTTCGAAGCATGAAGTTTCCAGGCAGCTCCAGTTGTGGCTGTGCAGCCCTGTGAAAGGGAATTCTTGGTGTATTCTTGATCAATCTGGTAGGTTTGGGGTACAGACACTGATTGGATGGTATATGCTGCACTCTCCTATTGGCCACCTGGAGGGACAGAAGGTGAACTGGGATTGGCACATACTGTTCTCTGCAAGCAAATGCAGAGCAATGCATTTCAGCGTCAGCAGCTGAGCTCCAACTACCAGAAAAAATTGTACATTGGTTTCAAATAGCTTTGAGACCAACTGTGAAATGGAAACACTGGCAGTGTGGAAATATCTTATAGGTGCCTTTCCACAGAGGAAGAATATAAGAAGTAGTTAAAAAAACCCAAGTAGGACACAGCAGCTATTCTTTATGAACTACTTTAAATATTGCAAAAAAAAAAAAAAAGAATTTAATGGAAAATATTCATTATGAAAAGTGAAGTTAAATGAAACAATATGTTAGATGTACTATAGTATATAGTAACAAAGGGAAATATGTTACTATTAACAAATGATGGAGGGATACAACATAGGGAAATGCAAATAAGGATTAACTTACAAATATGACATGCTGTGAAATGAGGACTAGTTCTGTTTTATGAGAGGAAAACATTCCAAAAGATATTTTACTTGAGCAATAGATCAACATAAAATTTGCCTTCATATGAAAAGCACCCATGTCCCATCTCATTTTAATCAAAGAATAATAATTTGTTGTATATTGTAAAGAGGTTGCTTTTTTAAAGGGAATAGAACAGGATCACACGGAACATGTTTAATGTCTCTTCCTACCATCTCTTTTCGGCTTTTTATCATTACCCCAGAAGGACTTTCTATTTTCACAAGAATTCAATTTGAGATATGTGCAGGCATTGTGTTGCCTTTCCTTGGTTTGACTAAACACCCATCTAAACTTATGACAAATACCAGTCAAAGTTAACTGAATGGTTACAAATGGACATATAAAATTTAATTGCTCTTGCCTTACAGCAAATTTTCAATTACACCGACATGTAAAAGCAAACAAGGGCAAAATCACTTCCATCAAACTCTACAAATATGGCTATGGATAAAAGTCCCATGTCCCAGAAAATAAATCAACAGTTTAGTTCATACATTAATATAAATATAACCGTGAGTGCATTCATTCTTAATAGAGAAAAATCTTATTTTTACTCAATTTTATCTGTAGCAAAACCTCAATTTTCTTCAAAAAACAGAACTTGTCATGCATGTTTACAGATACAAAAATTCTCTTGACAAAATATCTTCCAACTGTGAATTATTAATGACAGCATATTCAGAGGCTGCTGGTAGTTTTCAGTAACAAGCAGTAACTATTTAATCTTTTAACTTGTAAATACATGACTGTTAAAAATAGCGATTAGATTTTTCTTTTAGGAAAGATTCTCTTTGGGGTTTGCTTCAACATATACCATCTGTTCTACATTTCTCAGGATTCTATTGCTATGCAATATACATAACACTAATAATAATTATAATAATGGTAGTGGTAGTAAGAACCACACCCAATGGACAAGGAAATCAAATAGCAAAGAGCCTAAGTGTTCAAAATTCCAGGCAAAACTTTGTGCTAGCCTGTTGCAGAACTAACTTTCTCAGTTTCACACTGTCTAGAAGTATTGGATTACAATTTGCATCATCCCAGCCAACAGGTCAAGAGGTTGGGGAAGGCTGCAGGAAAGAAGTCATGAGCCAGCCAACAATGCAGGTTTATCACTTGAATAAATGCCATTTTGAAATGGGCTTGGTATGGATTTTTTTCTCTCTGCTACAATTAATTTTTTTATACATCTGCTCAACATATTTTAATCTGCCTTTGGGCTGCATAATAGACTTTCAAAGTGATTAACATTAATTTTAAAAGCAATATGCAAACCAAATAATGTTAAATAAAATAGGAGTCTGACCATAAGGAATCTGGAGTAAGGTCTTAAATTATATAGTGTGCCGGTAGGTCTGTATGGAGAAAGTGTTGCTTCAAACATCTGGGCCTAGGATATTCTTAGAGATCATGATCAATACTTGAAATGGTGTTTCAAAATAAACAAGGGGCCCAAGTAAAATTTGGGCAGCCAACAAGAAATAACAAATACTTCTCTTGGCTAGCCCTAGTAGATAATGTGTCCCTGGCTGGGTACAAGTTGTGTTACATCCCCTTCTCCTCAAAACATATACTGAGTTCACTTCATATCTGTGCAGCTAGCACTGGTATTACAGTGTGGGCCAACTCCGTTATGAGTCCCATTATGCCAGTGTTGTCCAAACTTGGCCACTTTAAGATGAGTGGACTTCAACTTCCAAAAATTCCCCCCCCAGCCTGGGGGCTTGGGGGTGACTGGGTTTTTTGTCTCCTCTATTTTATAGTGGGCTAGTTTGAAAAACAACCACATTA